CATGCAGCAAACGACTCCGACGACGCCGACGCCAACCCCGAGTCGAATCTCACATCAACTTCCTCTCTGGAAGTAGCAGCATCCTTCAAATCCTACAATTGCCAAATGCCAAGGTCAGCACTAAACCAACCAACCAACCAAACAACCAAACAATCAACACCTTAGAGTACTCTCACAATCCATTAAACTAAACAACAATCACTCTACAGGTTCCCATCGAGCCACGGGTCGATCGGAATGTACGTAGGGACAGGCGGGCCGACATGTCCGGTGGGGATTTAGCATCAAAAGCAGCAGCCACAGCAGGTAAAAAAGAAAACCCACAAAACCAAATGAATACTTCAACGATTACTCCATTGAAAAACAGAAAAAGAAAGGAAATTGCTTGGTTTTAACGATCATGTCTGGTGAATTCCAGGAAACAAAAAAAGAAAAAGAAAAAAAAGGAAAAATAAAGAGATTAACCAAAACAGCAGAGGAGTACACAGTATGAACACAGTATCTATAGAGAATGAGGGGAAGCAGAGGCAGGTCCTCCACAAGGGCACACCATCATATGAAGAGTACAAAAGAAAAGCAGTAAAAGAGGGAAGGTGGGGGCAGACCCATATGCATTTCTTCCATGTTTACTGTTCTTGATGGTAGCAGAGCAGTAGAATTCCATCATCTTCTTCTTCTCTCTTCCTTTTTAGTGTTATAAATTTGAATTTTATAGGTTAAAAGTAAGAAGAAAAAGAACACACAGAAAGAAAGAAAGCATGTTTTTATTTTTTTTTTTAAGGGTTTTTTCACAGAGTACTTCAAAATGGCAGAGGTTGAAGAAGAAGATGATGATGATGGTGGAGAGACTGTAATATTCCATTTTTAATTTCATTTTCTCTCATACTTTTCTCTCTTCCTTATGCCGTTTAGCAGAATTTAAGGATATTAAATTTAATAATATTTTAAAAACAAAATTGAAACAGACTCCGGTTCGGTTCGGTTTGAGAGGAGAGTGGGACAAAGAAGATTGAAATAGGGGTTTAGGGTCACATGGGGGTGGGCGGGGGTGATTGGATTGGAGTGGGGAAATGCCAGGCTGTCAGGGTGGGACCCACTCCCACCCCTCATGTCACATGCCATTCCAACTGCCTCTGTCTACATACGTCCATTATGTAAAATCAATTTCCCTTTTTCTTTTTTTTTTATCATTTTTTAATTATTATTATTTTATTTTATTTTTTAAAATAAAATTTAATTTCACACATGTACGACAAAAATGCACGGTTTCTAAGATTCCTTTTATTATTTTTAATTATAAATTCATTTCTTTTCTATTATTTTATTTATATATTTTTCAAATTTTAAAATATATACCAAAAAAAAAAAAAACTTTAGTAAGAGAGAAAATTTAAATCTCAACGGTCGTATCAAATTTAAGACATTGATCTTCATTCGACGGTATGAAATAGATAAGAGAATGTCAGAAACCAACTTAAGAATTGAACAAAAATTATTCAACGAACTCATCCACCGAGACATTCTAAAGGAGACAAGTTGTGTGTATATCGGCGCAAAAGAGGTGAAATAAGACTTTGATGTATGAAAAGAAAATGAAATAATGATAAAGTAGAAATATAAATTTTAAGCAAAGTTGAATTAGGAGTTTGAATTTTGGTGCAAACTTTATCACTAAAGTTAATCATTTGATGGAAAAATCAAATTTTTATAGCTTCCATAATAAAAATGATAATAATTATTATACTTTCAATGATTACGATGAGAATAAGATTATGAACGAGAAATTGTAACATTCTAAACCCACCGCTAGTAAGATATTGTTTGTTTTGGCCTATTACGTACTGCTCTTACAATTAAAAAAAAAAAAGTTATAGGCCGCAGCAGCAGGACTACTATAGGAAAGCCCACTCCCTCCGGCTAACATAGGAAGAGATTCCTGTAATTAGTCTCATTTCTCTTTCCAAACAATCAATATGGGATCTCATAATTCACTCTCCTTCAAGCCTCAACGTCCTTACTGACACACCGTTTTAATATCATCTATAATAGTTTAAGTCCATTGGTAGTAGATATTGTTTGTTTTGGTCCGTTACGTCGCTGTCAGTCTCACAATTTTAAAATGTGTCTGATAAGGAGAGGTTTCCACGTAAAGAATGTTTAATTTTCCTCTCCAGTCAATTTCACATAAATAATCTAATTTTTTGCCCTTGGACTTCTGCCAATACTTTTGATTAAAAAATATTTTAAAATTAAAAAAAAATCTAAAGATATATTTTAAAATTAAAAAAGGTCTATTCCTATTTTTTTTTTATATAATTAATTTCGTTATATAATTTATTCAACGTATAAGATAATATTTTTATTATATTTAGAATTAGATCGAAAAAGTTTAAAACTAAAATTCAAATTTAAAAGCTTAAAAAAGGGGTATTTTGACACGTGTAACCTATTAATAGACTGTGAAGAGGCCTCTCTCCCGCGAATTCCTATTTCGTGCGAGGGTCTCCGAATCGGAGCGCAGAGTTCTTCGGAAGCCTTCATTGGCGACGCGACGGCAGGTCTTCTCTTTCTTTTCTTTCTTTCTCTTTTGCCAATCGTTGAAAGAAATTTTACATTTGCCTCTTTTCCATTAATTCTGAATAAGATTCAGTCATCGCTCCTTTTATGATCGTTGAATTTCAACGATCAAAGTTTTAAGAGTTTTATGTTGAGTTGATGATGCTTGATTACAGAAACTGTTGAAACTGAAACGACGTATAATTGATTGAATTTGTTGGTGATGTTTTTTGCTATTCTATTCAATTATATAACTTGTCTTTGAGTTATTGAAATTGAAATTGAGCCCGCATTCACTACCCGATTAACGCAATTCTGACCTACTTGGAGCATCTGAGTTTCCTGTAAAACAAAGATGAGTGAAAAAGAGATGTAAGTTTATTATGTGTAAACAGAGCGTGTTTCTCTGTAATTACTTCTTTACAGTTTAAAACAGACTTGAATGGAAGTGCTTGCCTGTGTTCTATATGGCATCTAGTATGAACTGTGGTGAGGTTTTCAGTTCTACTTCTCAATTGAGGTGGGGTCTCACAATCCACTCCCTTCGGGGCCAGCGTCCTTGTTGGCACTTGTTCCATTCTCTAATCGACGTGGGATGTTCTTGCTGGTACACCACCTCATGTCCACCCCGGCACCCCCTTTGGAACTTAGCCTCTTCGCAGACACACTCTGATATCATTGGCAACATTTCAAGTTTATCACTATCAGATATTGTCCTCTTTGTACTTTTCCTTCCGAACTTTTGAGGGAATATCCTCTTTGTACTTTTCCTTCCGAACTTTTGAGGGAATATACTCTTTGTACTTTTCCTTCCGAGCTTTTCAGGCTTTCCCTCAAAATTTTTAAATTGAGTAGCTGTCTCCTCGAGAAAGGCTTACCCAACCTAGAGAAAGATGGAAACAAGTACGCTGGAGGGAACAGCTATGGTGGCTTACTTAGGCCTGCTTTTTTTTCGTCCTTTTTTCTGGAATTAGTAGTCACTAAACCCAAGTATATTCTGAGGCTCTAATACCAATTGACGTAAAGTTAATAGCTTTTTGTACTGGAATTGCTATTGGTGAGTTCTTTTTACTTTCTACGTCATGAGGTTTCTAGACACGATGAGAATGAAGAGCAAATTAGAGAAATTTTGAGATGTACTCTTTTTTAAGGTTAGAAGTTGAAATCTATATCCTTACATTTATTGTACTTAAAAAAAATAATATTTTTATAAAATTGAAATCCAACAACCTAATTGAATCCAAAGCTTGGGCAACCATGGGGTTATTATTTGTTGTAGGATTACATTGAAAAGTATGCAAAGGATTGCACATGAAATGGGGGGGAAATGTTGTAGGACCCCACCACGAACCTATGTGATTCTCTACCAATGTACCAAAAGATATCAAAAGATGGAAAAGCGAAGCATTAATGCTACCTACCAAAGCTCCTTAATATTTTCATCTAAGATTTTGAATGTCATTCCAGCCAAAGCGAAGCATTAAGCCTTCAGGTCCTTCTACTTTATCATTATTTCATTTTCTTGTGGGCTTAAAAGGTTGTAGAAGGCCCAAGAAGTGAAAATATATAAATAACAAAAGATAGATTAGTTCTTCCCTTAGCTAGTGCATTATTTTTTAAAACTTTGAAGGATGATGATATCGGATCATATGACTGTTAATTTCTTTTTTCTCCAATCGCTGTTAGAACTCTTGTTTTATCAAACTTGGGTGAATGAGGATGATATGCTTCTCTACTTAGTTTTCAGTTGCTTGTTTGTGAACATTTTGTTTCTCAATTCTTCAAGAGAATCTGATATTTTCTATGCAACCAGGTTTCTCAATTTCGAAGGAAATTGGTGACTGTTAAGGCCATTCTTTGAGAGATTAAAATGGAAAAAGAATATTTTAAAAAGATCTTCGAGGATAAAACTAGAGAAATTAAAGATGTATGGAAAGGGCACTCCACCAATTCCTTCGAAAGACTGACCCTCCATTAATTTAATTAGTGGCTCGTCAAGTTCATTTTGGTTAAGTATATAGAGAAATTAACCCTCAATGCAGCAGCAGATAATTGGTTAAGCATATAGTGTGAGTCTGTGTCATGTTGGGTTTAGTGCTTCGGTTTAAGTCGCCGCCGTCGGAAATGCAGAGAATTAATTGAATAAGACTAAAAATGCTTATAAATTTTAGATTTATAGTGAAACCTCTTAAGTTCATTACTCATGACAACCAGTTGGTACAAGTATGGAAAATTGAGTTCAGTTGAAGCTATGAATATGTAGATGCAGAGATACCTTGGGTAAACAAAGATTACTGCCTCTGAACTATCAATATCTTATAAAAAATGATAAGGACACAGTCTTTTCCTGGATTTATCATATATGTAATGCTGTATTACACTACACAATTGATATCTACATCTACTGTCCTTCATTGTTTCTCACCCCTTCCCAAATTTACTTGATAAATCCGTATTTTATTTGACACCTTCTTTAATCAAATTTGAATCATTCTGCAGTTACCTTGTTATAACCTATACTCTAAGGAGAAAAGGCGCAGAATATACTTGTACACCTACAGTTCAAGTGTGGGAGGCATCATGACAAGGGTTTAGCCTTTTTGAATATTCTTTGACCTGGAGCAAGTATTGCCAACGGGTCATAAGCCATTTTTCTCTCTACATATGTTTCCCACATTGGCCCAAAATGGGCCTGCCATTCTTTCCTTGTAGTGTAATGTGGCAAATATTGTTTCGCTCCTAGATTGGCTGTTTTACAGAATTCCAGAATTCTCGTGTTTTGTGTTAAGATGTATTCTAAGCTGTCGTTTCCTCTAGAACATGGAACTGCAGAGGTTAGAAATGCAACCAGGTAGAAAATATCCTCCTCTGGAATAACTACGGATGTTCTATTGTCCCACCTGAAACTCAGTAATAATTAATAGAATCAGTATAATATAATATAATATAATATAATACATATTGCAAGAACATTTAACTTGTTAGATCATTAATTACTTTGATTTGTTAACCGGATAGATTAGGACAGGGCCGTTGCTTGTTTCCTTCAGGATATTGCCAAAAACCCCTTCTGCAAATTCTTTTATTTTGCTTTTTGGGATTAGGAGATTCAGCCATGGGTGTGGGACTTCCCACAACCCTTTTGACTGTAATTTCACGGCTGATACTTGAACTCTGTCCAGGAATTCCACATATGTAACTTCTGATATGAAAAGCGTTGATGGGATATAACTCAACCGAGACAACAACCGCTTGACTTCCTGCATGGTAAAAGCATGTTCATGTAGCTGCCATTTATTTTCACATTTTTCACATTTTTCACATTTTTCACTTAGATTTATTTAGTAGGGATACTTCACCTGATCGACATTGTTGTTGTCCTTGTTGTGGTGAAAGTACTTTGCCAATTCTAGGCAGTAAAGAATTTTTCCTTCAGACTTGAACTGGCTTGCTTGAACAGGGTCTTGTGGATCGAATGATGATCTCCAATTATTTAGAAGACCAGTTCTGTTTATTATCACGAATCCTTCAATATAATCGAATGTATTTTCTCCAGATATTAACAGCTCCTGCTCTCTGGTAAATGTTGTGAAGTCAAAGTACAATACTCTTATCCATTTTACCTGTCAAGGATAGAAGAATTGGGTTAGAACAGCCCTTCATAGTTACTTTAGACTAGATTCAAAGTTCCTTTAGAACACTAATCTTACCATAGTTGGCGCTGGTTCAAGTAGAATTTTTGCCCGTGTGATAATTCCAAATTGGCCTAACCCTCCAAGAACACTGTAAAAGAGGTCACTGTTCTGTTCCTCTGAGCAGTTTACCACGTCCCCTTTTCCTGAAGTCAGTTTCACTCCATTTGTCAGTTACCATAACAATATAGCATCCAGGAAATGGCGTTCGCCATTTACCTTGCATGGATTTCCTATCACATTACTTTTGTATATGTATAGCATAATGTATATGGCAACGAACCTGTTACAACCTCCAGCTGATGAACGTTGCTGATCTGAGGGCCATGTCGAAATGCCTGTCCACTGATCCCTGCATTGGATAAAGTACCCCCAACCGTTAGATGTAGGTAGTCTGTCCATGATTTTGGTGTTAGTCCATATTTCAAGCTCTCCTGCAGGATATTTATCCATAACTCCCCTCCAGAAACATCGATGTATGTGAAGCTTCTGTTATGAACAACCTGCATTTGAGGGCCCTGGAGTGATTCCATGTTAATCACGACTCCTTGGTGGGCCTGTGCTTGGCCATGAAGTGAGTGGCCATGGCCTCTAGCTGCAACTGTGAGCTCTGAACCAGGTCCCATCTTCCAAATATGCTTTATTGTCATGGCGATATCAGAAACCGATGATGGATGCAGTATTGCTGCAGGGTAGTATTGATATCTATTACCAAAATCTCTTGCAGCAAATTCCACTTTGTCAAATTCAAAATGGCCGTTGATGTAAAGCATTCTTAGCGAAAAAGGGATGCCTGTGAAGCATAGATTCATCCTAACAGCAATACAGCTCAGGAACAAAATCATGAAGCTTCGAATCAAAAGCATGTTGGTTTGTTTGAGGAAACTAACTGGTGGGTATCGTAATTTTCTCTGGCTACAAGTCTCCGAAGTTAAAGATGAAAGGATTGGTAACATGTTTTTGTTATTTCTAAAGAGGAGAAAAAGGCAGAGGAGGTGTAGGAGGGCCTAGAAAAGGCTGAATTGGAGGTGGTTTTAAAGGGAGGTTAAGATCATAGTGGCCGAGTCAACTAGACTTCAGTTAGGAGAATACGTATGAAGACTGCCTACTTAGGGAAGAGTTGGGAGAAATCGTTGCACTTTTTTAAACAGTTAAGCTTTTCCCACGAAAGACAAACAGGTTCTCATTAACCTTGTTAAGGATTGTTTCCCATTTTTAGAAAAGGAAAAAAAGGCAAGGCAAGGCCTTGGCCGGAAAACGTATTCCTCTGCCTTTTCTCTGACTGGTAATGCATATGCTTGTGTCTCACTGACATTAATGATGAGGCTACTCTAATCCTTGAATCCTATTATTGTCGGAATTTAACATTGCGTATCTAGTTTCAGATTCAGTCAGAGGAGAGTGACCCATGTTGATTCATTGGAGACGAAGACAGAAGGATCAGAGGGTCACCAGAGGGTCCATCATACACGTGATATTTAACTGCCTGCATGCTTTTTAGGGAGAAGAGATATGATGGGGATTGTGTCGGGGCCACTCTTACGGGTTAAGCAAGGGGAAAGGAGAGCGAACATGGGGCTGACACCTTCTTGGTGGAACTCAACACCACTCTTACACCTATCCACTTCCACAGGTTTGAAAGATTCGATCCTGTTTACATTGTTATTTACCATTAAAATACAATCTCAGTGGCAATTATTGCATTCCTTCCTTTTTGTTGCAATTTGTTTGTGACAACCAATCAGAAGTTTACATCTTTCCCCTCTTTCCTTTATGCTACATACCAATTCAACTCTGGCTCTCTCAAGAAAATGAAATACAGGAAAATTAGTCAATATCTACATCATGTGGCACACTAAATATTGTACTCTGATGCCGTTTTTTTTTTCTTTCTTTCCTATAACTGTGTCCTGCAGCATTCTTCAATGGAAATAGGCAAAGTTTTGGGATCCAATCAAAATTTGCCTAATGGTTCGTCCTCCTGAGTGAGTACCTCCTAGATTTTTCATTGTGCTGACAACATCTATCATGCCCTCAACTTATATTTGACTTGTGGCGTTACAAAAGTGAAGCTATTTAAGGTTGTCAGAGGTTTGGGTTTGTTGGGATGAAAATGACCTGTAAGTTTTATATGCAAAATCATTTTGAAAACTGCGTTTGAGATCTGCTCTTCTCTTCAGAGGCAAAGCCATCCCCTTTGTGATTATAAAATTAAGATTGTGATAATTGGGTATGGATATTGCAATCTCTTGCTTTTTTATCAAAATATGAAGTTTGTAGTGTGAATTCCAGACTTCATCCGCCCATTTGTGGTGAAAAACCGAAATGATGATTGCATGTTTTCTAGAAGGAGACCGACCACCAATAAATTAATCCATTTTTGGCTCTTTAGCTTAGTGGACTCTTCATTGTGTTGGAGCTCTACCCCTATCCTCCATCCCCACTTTAACACCGACGAATTAAGTTACATCATGGGGCATCTCCTGTCCATCAATTGCCTGCTCTTGGGGACTGCAGGATTCTCTTTCAGCTGTGTAAAGTTCTTAAATCCAATCACTTCAACATTGCCTTAACATAAAATCTTAGGTGGACCTTATAGGAATAGAACCCAGAATTGTATGGTTAAAGAAGGAAATGAAGAAGGGTAAGGAAAGAAGTCGAGAAATTATCGCTTGCTTTTCAATGACGACGAGTAGATTAGCTTGTGTAACGGCTCAGGTCTACCGCTAGCAAATATTGTCCTCTTCGGACTTTCCCTTTCAGGCGTCCCCTCAAGGCTTTAAAACGCGTCTGTTAGGAAAAGGTTTCCACACCCTTATAAAGGGTGTTTTGTTCTCCTCCCCAACCGACGTGGGACATCACAACTTGGGACAAGGGTTGCCACCTTTGTTGTAATGGGATTAGAAGAAGGATTGGTTGGACAAACTTTATGAAATGTGAATCCTTATCATGTTCCCTATCCCCACTTTTGATAATATTCCTCTTCAGTGATCGTTTGTTTTTTTATCTTCTTTATAGCCGAAAAATCTAAGGACTAAAGAATCTCTTCCTAATCATTTTTGTCTAAACCTTCTTTTGATTGTAAAATATTGGAGGAAATCTGGAGGGCAATGCCAACAAAAGCAATGTAAAATTTAGCATTATCGTCAAAGCCAAGAAACCACACGTAGGCATTCTACAAAAATGATTGTTGAGCATAGTTACAATGACTTTATTTCATGTCACTTGCCAAATATGCAATTACAGTACTCTGTTCATTTTTGTTACAATCATTCCCATTATCTTTGTCGTTTTGTTTATTTATTCTACTGAATAATTATAATTACTTCCCGAAAGTTGGTGAAATATGCATTTTAGGGGAGGCTGGGAAATGAACTGTCTCCCATTATCTGACTAATATATTTATATATTCCTTTGTTAGTTGACAAATTATGATTATGTTTTGTTTCCAGCTTTAAACATTTGTTCTTCTCCCTCTCTGGATCATGTGGACAAAGTTGTGGCAAATTGTTATCATGTTTTTTGTCCAAGTTCACGACCGACTGTTGTTTTTCTGATCTGCAAGATCTCACTTTGGTGTGCCTAGCTAGGATAGCACTCAAGAAGTTTGGATTTTTTTAGTTGCCCCACCGCACCCAGGAATATGAATCCATTTTAAACAAAACTAGGTTCTTTGATCATAATCATGCACATTTTTTGCCTTTCAACACTTACCGTTCATTCAACATTTAGAAGCATAATTATTTGAAACTGACCCTTCAAACAATGAAACAGAATGCAGAAAAGAAATGTGAACTAAGATTAGCTTAGCTAAATGCATGCGTTGTTGATCCGTCCTTTTTTTCCCCCATCTTTTTGTGCACTAAAATCCCTACCATTTCTAGTCAAGACCAGTACTTGTTTTGTTTTTGAAACATCCATTTTGGATCTTGATTCAATCTTTCTGATAGCTAAGTTTGCTGAACTGTCAACTAATAAATGCATGCATCTAATTATGAGAGAGTTTGCCTTTACTTTTTGCTTTTTTATGTCTGTGTTCGATTTTAAAACGAAGTGGTAGAAAATTTAAAATGGGATGGAACTTAGCTTTCACCAGTGTGGTCCTTTGCGTAAACAAGCTGAAGTAGGCCAAATTAATGGCTGTTCTAATCACAGTGTTTCTTTATGACAAGAAAGGAGTTGTATGTACTCTTTTCATCAACTCTTCAAATTGTAGTTTAGAATTTGGAATGGATTTTGTGCTTGTAGTTGTTTTTTAGAAGTGTTTTTGTGGGGTTTGATGTGAAAAGTTCATTCAAGTGAACAAGTTACCCCAGGCTCTTCTAAAGTCAATTGTCACGTGGGACATTATAACTTGATATGATGTATAGATATCGTAGATGCCTGTTCATCAGAGAAATGTTAAAGTTAATATTTAAGAACTATTTTATTATATCCGTGAAAATAAAATGTAGCCCTTAATATCTCTACATTGATATGATATCTACCACATAAATGAAGAGCTCCGAATGATCATTTATTTAAATAAATTAACAATTTTTACAAGTTTCTTCAAATTTCTTTTAGATGTATTTTTTACAAGTTTCTTCAAATTTCTTTTAGATGTATTTTATATGGACCATAAAATTAAATTGTTGATTGGTGAGATGTCGTCTTCATCTGCTCACCTCTTATGTCTTGTCTAATGGGTCTTGCAAGTTTGAATGGGTAACTACTAAGTTTGAAAGCCAATAAGTTGTCCAAACAGAAAGAAAAGTGATTGGGAAAAATGTCACTTATGCATGAGTCCAATCCAAAGGCTTCTTCATGGAGAATGTGCTTTGTTTTGAATATCTTAATCTAATGGTGTGATCTGAATCATTTGAACTCTTCTTTCAGGTCAAAAAGTCAGTTCCCCTCTGCCTGCATCTAAGTGGTGTATTCAACCACATTAAACTTGCTTCTTCAGGTAACGCCATGTGCTGCTTATTTAATGAATTAGGTAGGTGTGGATCCAATTGTAGAGTTGTGAGTTTGACACAGACTTATTCAATGTTGCTTGCTCTAATGGGAGTCTATAGGATCTCGTGTTTGAAGATCTTCTTCGTGCCTTTTGGATTAGATTAACTATGGGGAAAAATAAGTGAAGATTAGATTAACTATGGGGAAAAATAAGTGAGTTTCACGTTCTTAACAGTCAATATAGGTAAATATGGTTGCTTAGAAATCGAAGCTTAAAAACATGTTTTTAGAGTTCAACATTTGAGGGTAGTGATTCAAACTTCTGATCTGTAAATTCGATCATGTTTTGTTTTCTTTTTTTTGTTCCCTATAATTTAACCACTAAAGTAAATGGTTTAAATTTCAAAAGTCTAGCTCTCTAGAGTTAATAAATAATGTGGACTCTAGAAAAGTGTACAGAAAACAATAATAACAAAAGAAAAAGAAAGTTAGGAGCAGAGACAAACATAATAAAAGTTTAAACCCTAATGGAAAGCATGTGATGAATATAGAGTGGTGAGTGGTTGATATTGACTTAGTCTACGCTTTGATTAGGACATAGTGGTTTTGAACACTTAGAAATTTCAGTGAACAGTGTTTGAGTTGCAGCTCCTTTAACCACAAAACCACAATCTTCTTCATCATTAACTAAACCCATTATTTTCCCTTTGAATCTTTGGAAGAGTTCAATCATATTACCCAACACCAGCTTTCATGTTGTGAGCCATTCAATCTCAATTGGTCAATGAGTATCCATTAGCCATTGCTAAATGTTGACAATCCCACCACCTTCCACTTTTAAGATTTTAAGAACTTGAAAAGTTGTTTGCAACTTATTTCGTTGGATGATTTTTAATACTAAGAGGTCGTAAATGGTAAAACTTGTGATTAAATTTAAAGGAATAATGAATTTAGTTAAACCTAAAATTTAAGAAAATGTTAGAGAGACTACTTATGTTATTGTAAAATCAAAAGATAGATGGTTACAATCAAAAGATAGATGGTTGGATAGATGGCTCGATAGATTGATAAACTAATTTGTTCAAACAGTCGGGTATAGATTGCGAGCCCATCCATTTTTGGAGTTAGTTGATTCGGTAGGTGAGTTGTTACACACTCCTTAGCAAATTTCAACATCCATGACCACCACTTTGCTGTCTTAATTGACCAAAACCCTTTGTGGGATCTAGGTTAGAGCGTCGTTAGGCACCACAACCCAACTCCGCCCGTCAGAAAAACAAGATATATATTCTTAACTAAGAGGTCGAGATTTGAATCTTTCCACTCTACATGTTAAACTAAAAAAAAAAAACTAAAATGCATAACAAAAATTTGACATGTTTTTTCTCCAATATAACTGAAGTAGAATGTTCGGAAGCATCTCAAACAGAAAATTATAATAGATCAAACTTGAACATTGAAAAAAAGGCACATGAAGGGGCAATTGATTGGTTACCATTTCACAGAAAAATTGGACTTTCTTCAATTTCACATCAGAATCAATGATGGTTAGTATAGGCCAAGAGAAAATCAGCAAATTCATTACGTGCAAGGTTGAAGTAAAGAATACTAACCAAGCTTCACCAAAAATCTCCGCACGAACAAACTCCATCTTTGAAATAATGAAAGCGTTTCGCATCTCGAACAATTATTTCCCTATCGACAAGCTTCGATATTAGCTTTATCGCCGAATGACAATTAACGCATGCACGGAGATTTTTCGTTATTCTAAGTGTAGTTCCAGGAGCAGTACTGATGATGCCATAAGCAACTGCTAACCTCTCACTATGGTTACAAAGAGTTTCCTCAATCTCCTCATGATTCAAGTCATGTAGAACAGATTCCATATGAGCAACATAACCAGCTGCCTTTAATCTCCTCTCCAATCTATCAAGTTCTTCAAAGATTTCCTTCGATCTCGGATGTGATCTATCTCCAACATGGAACGTTTCGAGATTTCCATTGATCTCAATCGAACTATGTCCGAGGTCCTTGTTCAGTCCTTTCTGCGTCATCATTAATCGAACGTTCCCCACGTGGTTCCATAAATGGGCAGAAGCATATAAGTTTGAGAGTTGTACATAATGACCTGTATTATATGGATCTAATAAGAAAAGCTGTTCTGCAGCTATCTCTCCCAACCTCACTTGACGATGGATCTTACATCCACTTAAAAGTGCCCCCCAAACACTAACTCCAGGTTTAATGGGCATGCTCATAATAAAATCATAAGCTCGATTCAAATAGCCTGCACGTCCCAGAAGATCGACCACGCAAGAGTAATGCTGGTGATGCGGTTCAATCCCGTGGTCTCGCATCTGGTGGAAAAGCTCCCATCCCTCTTTTACAAGACCCGAGTTTTTACATGCTGTGAGAAGGCCAACAAAAGTAACATTGTTCGGACAAACTCCAGATTGCTTCATTCTGTTGTAAAGGTCGATGGCTTCTTGTCCATGACCGTGTAATCCATACCCCATAATCATAGCACTCCATAAGACAACGTCTTTATCGACCATTCTATCGAAAACACCACGAGCAAAACATATGCTTCCACATTTTGCATGCATATCTATAAGGGCCGTGTTCACGAAAACATCGTCTCGGTACTCACTCTTAGAGATATAACCATCCAACCATCTTGCTAGTTCAAGAGACCCCGCTTGGGCAACGGCTAGAATAGCAGACCTCACAGTAACAGAATCGACCCCGATATTCTTTGAAATCATCTTACGGAATAGCTCGATTGCTTCTTCACCATATCCATTTTTTGCATAACCAGAAATCATAGCATTCCACAAAAGTAAATTTGGTTTTTCCATCTGATTAAAGAAAAATCTAGCAACTTCCACCCGTCCACATTTAGCATACATGTTAGTGAGCGAGACCACTATGTCGGGTTCGAATTCTAGACCCAATTTAGTCACTAAGCTATGAATGGCTTTCCCTTGCCCCAAATCCTCCATGTCTGTGTAGGCTGTCACAACACTAACAAGGACAATCCAATCAAGTTTCACAGTACTTCGCCTCATATCTTTGAAAACTCTCAACGCGTCCACGGGATCGCCATTCTGAACGTACCCAGAAATGATGGATGTCCACGAAACAACAGTTCGATTATGTAACTTATCGAAGACGAGCCTAGCAGATGAGGTTTGGCCAAATCTAGCATACATTGACACAAGACTGTTCTGCACAAACACATTTGATCCAAGGCCATATTTAAACGTCTGGCTATGCATCTGTTTACCTATTCCTTCGACCGACATTCCACCGCACGCTTTAAGCACATACAAAAATGTGAAGCAATCTGGGTTCACCCCTGACACTTGCATATCCTTGTACATTCTGATAGCACCAGCAAAAATATTGTTCTGAGTGTAGCCCTTTATGATGCCATTCCACAACAAGATATCTGGTTCTAAGACTTCACGAAAAACCTTATGCGCGTAGTTAACATCTCTGAGATGCAAACATGCATTGACAAATTTGATAACCAAGAAACCACACTTGTATAGCCCAGACACGATTAACTGGACGTATAATTGATCCAAATGCTTCCTACAGGATGAGTTACAACTTAGAAAGTTCCAACTTTCTCGGGAAATACAGAGAAAATGGAGGAAAATGACATAGAAAGTAGGACAAACATTCATTAAGAAATAAACATTGAAAGAAAAAGTAACTCCAAGCCATTTCATAAACATCTCATGACAAGGCCTCCAGACAAACTGTAACGGCCCAAACCCACCGCTAGCAGATATTGTCCTCTTTGGACTTTTCCTTTCGGATTTTCCCTCAAGGTTTTTAAAACGCGTCTGCTAGGGAGAGGTTTCAACACCCTTATAAAGAATGTTTTGTTTTCCTCCCCAATCGATGTGGGATCTCACAATCCACTCCCTTCAGGGCCCAACGTCCTCACTGGCCATCATTCCCTTCTCCAATCGATGTGAGACCAGACCCAACGTCCTTGCTGACACACTACCTCGTGTCCACCCCCTTTAGGGTTCAGCCTCCTTGCTGACACATCGTCTGGTATTTGGCTCTGATATAATTTGTAACGGCTCAAACTCACCGCTAGTAGATATTGTCCACTTTGGGCTTACCCTCAAAGTTTTTAAAACGCATGGAGAGGTTTCCACATCTTTATAAAAGAAATGTTTCGTTCTCCTCCTCAATCAATGTGGAATCTCACCGAAACAGTGTTTTGAAGTCACATATGAAATCACAAGATGGTCATCTACTAAAAATACTAGATATACAGCTAATTTCTAACCTCAAATGGTATAAAGTTAGCTGAAAATCTCAATCCAACCAAGCTAATAAGATAACTAATATTCAATATATAATACGCTTTCTCTATAACCTAAACACGAGCCAAAGCTAGGCGAGCGAATTCAAACCACAAACACTGATACTTCCAATCACAGAAAATGGCCTTGAAAATAGAAACTGAAAGTGAAATACCTCCTCAATAAAGCCTCCTGCGAGGTTGCCGCCGCCTTTGAGAGAGCTGTAGATAGCGACGACAAGGAGAGAGAGAGCGAAAATGAATGCAAAGACATGGCTGAAAGTCCGAGGAGCTGCAAAGGCCAGCTCCGTCAAATCCCTGTCTTCCCGCTGATGAAGTTCTCCGGAGAAGCAAGTACCGACGAAGCTGTACGATTGCAGCAGCTTGAGAGACGGAGGGGATATGGCGGCGGCCGTCGAAGATGGACCCCATAATTGTTGAAACTGAGGAGAATCGCCATCGTGCTTGCGATTCGAAGGAAAACTGTTCTGTTTCTTGTAACCCACTGAAAAATAATTCAATCCCAATTCATTTTGGTTTGGTAATTATAATTTCAAATAATTTATATGGGATCAAATTCATCTTTCACCCCCTTCCTCCATGAATCAATTAGGTTAAACTATATATATATATATATATAATATATATATATATATATATAATAATTGATTAATGAAAATATTCTTAAATAATTTAAGGCCGAAAATATTTTTAAACTTTCAAAATATCAATAATAATTTTAAATTTGATGTAGGAGTCTGATCATTCTAACTGAGCTCTAGTTTGTAAATCCAGCCTTCTTAACACGACAAAATTATAAATCAAGTTCGTGGACTTATCTTTTTCCTTTTATATTTTCAGTACAGTGTTCAAATTGGTCTACTAGCTCGTAACTTTAGCCGTATTGTCAATAATATTGGGTTCATCTTACATTTCTGTCTGGCTCACTAAAACGGAAGAACTTAGTTCCACGACCTCGAACGAGGGTCTATAATTAGTAGGGGCTTCATCCTTATCACCAAAATATCATCACCAAGTGAAAGAGAAGACGGCGTCCAAGTCAAAATTTCTCGAAGTTTCAACATTGAGACACTTCAATAGCATCTACACGCTCAAACTATAGTTAATCAAGCTAATTCACATACATACACAAACATCTATACGTTGTACTATAGCGTCTCAAACGAGTGTTGCAAGCATTCTACCTCATAACGCATACAAATTAGAACTTTTTTGTCTTTAGCACGAGACCCATCTTGAGACTTAGCTTAATTTACGTAGATTTCTACTTACACGTAATTTTTAACGTTTAAGAGTATTAATAATTTTTTTAAAACTTAGCTTAAATAAAGGTGCAGAGGAAGATTCTGGAAGTGAGGATGAAATGATTGAACAAAGGGAAGGAATAAGAAGCTTAAGATAAGAAAGAAAGAAAGAAAGCATTTATTTAGCTGTCATTTGAATGGCTGTCTCTGTCTGAAAAAAGTGACCGTTGAAGCTTCAAAGACAAGCCGACCGTTGGATCAAATTTCAAGGATATAAACACATCAAACTCTGAACAAGCTCAGATCCTTCTTCTTCGTCTTCTTCTTCCCCTTTTCTCTGTATATATTTTGACACCCAGATCCTTCTTGTTTGCTCGTGATTCAGAGATGGGTATGGTGCTGGTCATCTCTCTGCCGTTGATTCTCTTCTGCTTCTTGCTTGGTTTTGGCTGTTACTTTATAGGCAGAGCTAAAGGGAGACAGGACATTCGGACTAATGCCCAGGTCTTTGGGGTGCCGGCGCCGCCTCCCGGTAGCGGTCTCGCCCATCCTCCGCCACCGCCGGAGCCGCTTTTCAAACCTGATAATTCAGCCCATGTTTGATTAGTAATCAGATCCAAGTTCAATTCTTCACTGTACCGTCTCTGTCTACTGGGTTCTGTTTTGGGGTAAATTCTGTACTGTTAGGATGAACTTCAATACTCCATGAATCGTTTTGCTGTTATTGTGGCTGTTCTATGGGTGTTTCTGCATTCAATCGAGTGACCTGTTTGTTGGTAGAAATGTTTGATTAATTGTGTATATCACCGTCTAATTCCTTGCACAAGTTTGGACGCTTTCATATCTATCCGCGTTCATCTCACCTAGGTTTGCAACTCGACGAATCTACTCATGGGATCCCACGTCGGTTGAAGAGAGGAATGAAGTATTTCGTATGAGAAAAACAAAGAAACTCTCCGACATTTAATTTTATTCCTACATAGGTTTACACAATCGTGAGATACCATTATGAAACGAGAAAAAATTCTATCATTGTATCAGAATTTCTGAGTCAAGAGACATTTCGAATAAATAGTTTCTATGGGGCGCAATCTCCCAAAAGGGTAATGGAGGTGTGTAGAGGTTTTCTCGAATCAAATGGAGATCGACCCTTAGTGTAAATGCATGTTAGCGTTTTTTAGAATAGAATTTCTCTCCTTGGCATTGGTTCAAGCCTCGTCTAGTATGGCAACAAATATAGAGACTGTTTGATGTAAATCATAATTCTAATCCATTAACATAAAAATTAATTCAAAGTAATTAAATATTAATTAGGATTCAAATAGATCTTACTTTTTTTTTAATGATTTATGTAATATGGTTTTTTTTTTTTTGTCTTCCCATTCAATTGTATAATTTAATAAATAATTATATTTAAATGTTTTTTTAAACATTTAATTCTAGATAAATAAAAAAAAAAAAAACAAATATACAAATTACAGATTTACAATTACTATAAATATCTCTAGGGTTCCAGATTGCCAAATTTACTTTCAAAGCCCTAAAAACGGATTGGGGGACGAAATTCCGTTCATCATCTTCTTCTTCATCGTCTTGAAGGCGCGCAGTCGATGCCCTGTGCTGTGGTTTTGGTCGGCGAGGAGGGCCATAGAGAGGGTTCCATTATCAAACGCTCTCTCTCTTCACCCACTTATCAGTTTCTTCTCTTTTCATGTCTTCAGTCGGTGGTTTGCTTTTATCTGCTCCTCATCCTTCAGGGTCTTCTAAAACCCTAGCCTTCCACTCCGGTTCCTCCCCTATATGCCTGCTTCCCTTTCTCCTTCTCTATAGTAAAAACCCCTGTTTTGATCTCAGGCTTTTTGCCTTGCAATTTGAATCCAGTTTCAGATATGGGCGATTTTAAGGTATGATTTGTTTGTTTATTTAATTTTATTGGGTTTTTAAGTCCTTGTTGGTTTTTGAGTTGAAATTTTGTAGAGTAAGTTGATGGTTTTCTTTGATAAGAAGGGCGTGCAAATGTTTCGACAAGTTTATTCATTTGGCTAAATGCCATCTTGTTAATGAAATAAAGTGCAGATGAGTTTTTCGTATGTTCATACTTTCTCAATTTATTATTACGTATCAGTTTCGTTTTTGGTTCGATTGCATGACACTGAATAGCCTAGGACAAAATTTTATGAGTGGGGTTATACTTTTTTGATGAATAGGTTTAAATAATTTCATTGTATTTGTTTAGGGTTTATGCATTTGTGTGTTAGTGATCTTTGGACTTATGGTCTCTTTTTTATTAGGTTCTATTGTTTGGGTCTTTCACTGAAGATGAAACCATTGCATCGATGCAACCTCAATCGAATGTGAATCCTGGAAACCTGGTCAACAATGTAAATATGCAATTTGGTTCTCTGAATCTTACAGATGGAAAATCGTCGGGTAGTTCCCTTGACAGTGAACTGAAAGGACCTTCTGGTTCCACAACAGCATCCGTAAGTTTGGGGCCCCTTGATTTAGCTGCTAAGGACGCTACAGATCTGAAAACTGTCCAAAGAAGAAAAAATCGCACTCCCCCGGCATCGGGAGTGCCAAAAGAGAATGGAAGTACTCACCACCTAAATCCAAGCTCCTGTTGTACTAATGGGGTGACAGAAACGAAGATAGACGACATTGTCTCTTCTTCAGTATGTGAATCAAATGGGCAGAATAATTCTATAAATCAATTTTCAAGACTGTTAATAGAAGACAGCCAGAAAAATGGTAGCATTGATGGCTTGCAAGAAATTGTTCCCAAAGAAAATTTCAGAAGGGCATCCGTTGTTTCTGTCACTTCTTCCACTAAGCTACTACCTCGAGGTTTAATTAACCCAGGGAATTTATGCTTTCTGAACTCAACTCTGCAGGCTCTTTTATCCTGTTCTCCTTTTGTTGATCTCTTGAGAAATTTGAAGAATCGTGAAATCCCCAAGGTCCTTGTCCTTCCTAGTATATTCTGGTCTTTGTTTCTGTGGCATGAAGAAAAATACAAAACAAATAGATTTGGAGTAATATGATTGATGACTGATGTTTCTACTAATTTTGGTGAATTTCTGACTTGAGATGTATTTTTTCAGGCGGGTTATCCTACACTAACTGCGTTTGTAGAGTTCATATCTGCCTTTGAAGTACCCAGTTCAAGTGTACCGAACAGGGATATGGCTGCTCTTGATGTTGGGAAGCCTTTTAGCCCTCTCATGTTTGATGGTGTTCTTAAAAATTTTAGTCCAGATCTGCCCAGTGGTATCTTGGGACGTCCAAGGTTTGTGGATGTTCTGCCAATATATTTTCATTTCAATGCTCATCTCTTACCTTTGGTTGTGGTTTGCTTTAACGTAGCCATTGATACAGTGGTAAATTGAAAATATTAGAGAGTAGGATGAATATCAAGCACTGGGAATTACACAGATATCTTTCATATGACCTTAATTCTCTGCACCTTGCACATGTACTTAATTTTGGTGATCTTTATCTTTTTCGAGAAGCATGATTATGAGTTATGATTATCTTTGTATTACTTTGTCGACTTCTTTCCACATGAGGTCCATATTAAGTTTCTAAACGTTTATTGATATACGGCGGTTTGTATTTGATATGTTTTTGTTAGGTTTTCTATGGATAACTAATTTTTTCATTATCATTTGTTTTGAAATGTTTTACCCACATTAGTACTAAGTGGTTTATTTTCTATACTGCTAAGGGGTTAGTAATTATTTTATTTGGTGAATAGAGATTGGAGATGGAAAGGGGGAAAAAGATTAAAAAAATTGTAAATTAGTTCTAGCATTCTATCGAACTTATTTATACTTTTTCATAAGATAGGTATTTTGATCAAAGTTGTTTACTTTTTTTGTTCGGCCTTATCGACGATTTTACAATGATTTAGAGGAAGACTTAAGGGAATATTTATTAGAAGTTCAATAAAAAAGAAGACTTACACCACCCAACGTGATGTCTATCATAATTTTTAGAAGCAATGATCGCCTCTAAAATATTCTCTATGCTTGATTCATGATTCTTAAATTCCTGTTATTTTGCTCATCCAGACAGGAAGATGCACAAGAATTTTTAAGTTTTGTCATGGATCGGATGCATGCTGAATTGCTGAAGCTTGATGGAATGTCTTCAACTACCAATGGGGATAAATATCTTGTAGTTGCTTCTGCAGAAGATGATGAATGGGAGACAGTTGGGCGGAAGAACAAATCTGCAGTGATGAGAACACAGAGTTTTGTTCCTTCAGAGTTTAGTGAAATCTTTGGGGGGCAACTGACGAGCATGGTGACGGCAAGAGGTAGTATATATGAACACATGTCATACGGTCATGGTTTTTTGGTCTGGTTTTGTTTTGTTCTTTTAATGTGAATGGAATATTGAAGGTAATTTCCATTTAGAATTTAGCTAATGTCTTCTGGAATTATTGTGCTTCTTAGCAATTGATTTGTTATCCTTTGAATTTTTGCAACTAGTTTCTCTCTATTGGTTGCATTGATTATTTTCCTTTCACTTGGTTCGTTGATTTGCTGGACAGCACATTTTCATTTTAAAAAATTCAATTTCTAGTCTGTTACTTATATTTGACTGATTTTTAGTCTGCACAATTATGACTGGTCAAAGTTGGATTCATTTTGTATCTTCCTCTGTGGTCATGAATCAACATCAATTTGTGTAATATCTCGTACTGTACGTCTTTAATTGACACAATTGTTTAGCATAACTAAACTGCATGGATATGCAATTCTCCGATACAAATCCATACCAACGTATTTATTGTTTTGATCTTATGTTTTTTACTCGTGATACCCCTCTATAATTCAATGAGTTGATATCTTTTTTGCTTATCGTTTTTAGAACCCGAATGATTTATTGCTGTTTATATGTTCACTTGCTTTTTCTTGATTTCGTTACCTCTGATCCAATTTTTGCTTGGGATTGAGCAGGAAATAAGCCTTCTGGTACTGGTCAGCCATTTCTATCGCTGCATCTTGATATTTACCCTGAAGCTGTTCGCACGATTGAGGATGCGTTGCGTTTATTTTCTGCACCAGAAACTCTTGAAGGGTACCGGCCATCAGCTGCTGGGAAGGTATACTCTTGTATTGCACGTATCTATAAAATCCTCTTGATTTGTTCTCCCGCATGCATGATTCTCAATGCAATTGCATTCTTTCTTTTACTTTTTCTGCCCCTTGAAATGTTCGTGTTATGTTGTAAAAGTAAGCAAATGTTCGCATTCTATCCAAGTTTTGATGGGTGTGTATTGTGGGCAGACACCCTTAACCAAGGGTATGTTTGATCATGCTTTTAATTGTTCAAAACCTATTTTTAATAGTATTAATATTGCCTTTAAAAGCTTTTAAATCTAAGATTAAGTTGATTTTAAATGATAAAGACATGTTTGGCGGAAGTGATTTTAAAAATGAGATATATGTTCTCCAGGCTGGTGTTGTGACTGCTCGCAAATCTATGAAGATACAGAAACAGTCGAAAATAATGATATTACATTTGAAGCGTTTTGGCTATGGAAGCCATGGAAGTACCAAGTTGAATAAGCCTGTGCATTTCCCCCTTGAGTTGGTTTTAAACCACAATCTTCTCATCTCCTCATCCACAGAGGTATTGTCTCTTACTTTCCAGTCTTTCGATACCGAAAGTAGAACAGGCAAGATCACGCTATACAACGTGTGCGCAGAGTGTTTGCTTATTGTTTCTCTTGGTTGCATTCTTTTCAGGGCAGGAAGTATGAACTTATTGCCACCATAACCCATCATGGAAGAGAGTCCTCAAAGGGACATTACACAGCAGATGTTCGATAC